ATGTACACAGAGACATTCTTTTCATTGGGGGAAAAAGGGTTCGTTACAAGGAAATGATATGCAAGAAAAACGCAAGGGAATTTCAAAAATTCTCTCCATCAACAAGTCAATTTTGATATTATAATAAAGTATGCGAATTTGTTTTTTTTTTTTTTTTCTCAACACTTTTGGGAAATTACTTTATAAATGTGTACATTTTTATTTTATTGGCTTTAATGTACAGTTAGTTTGAGGTTTGAATAAGTACATAGTTTGCTATTTAATTGTAATATCTTGCAAATTAAAGCTGTGAAGCATTTCAAAATGGATTGACTGAAAAAATTATATTTCTCAAAAAATATTCAGAATTTTGTAAGTGTTCAACGGTGACCCCAATATTGTGGATTTTGAAGACAACAGATTTTTTCGTCATCTAATAACGATAGACATATAGTTCCTTTAGAATCACATTCTGTGCCATTTTGCCAATTGCGATACAACTTTGCACAGTTCATTTGTTTTGCCCAAAGACGATACCCATTAAAATTGGTAGTAAGAGTCCAGATTTGGATATAGCTCCAACAAAGTCAAACGCCATAATTTGTAATATTTTTTTTTTTTAAATTTTATTGAATGAAAGCAAAAAATGTCGGAAATAGCATCAAATTTTAGAATAAGTTTAGATTTGTTCGAATTGGTCACCTTTGGCACGATTTATGGCCTTCAAACGACCAATGAAGCCGTCGCACGCTGCCCGAATGTTGCTCCGCGGTATTTTGGCCCATTCCCGGCGAAGTGCTTGCTTGAGGTGATCGACACTTTGGTATTTTTTGCGCAAACCTTGCTTTCCAAAATACTCCAGGCACAATAGTCCAACGGATTGGTATCCGTAGATTTTGGTGCCATTGTGCGCTGGAAATTAAGCGAGGAGCCTCATTTTGTAACCATTCTTGGGTGGCGCGTGCTGAGTACAATGATGCTGAGTTCTGTTGGAATGTTAAAGGTTTGCGGCCAAAATGTTTGCGTGCCCAAGGCTTTTATACATCATCCAGAATATTTTCGCGATAATATTCGGTATTTATTCTGATGCCACGGTCGATTAATAGGACCGGAGAGCCACTATCAGCCCACATCATCACCATGGCCGCTTGGCTTTTTTTCTGGAAACCTCTCACCAAAATGCTTTTGTACGCTTGTAAATAATATAGTGAGCTGTCACTGAATTAATTTTAACAGCTGTCGGATGAGTGGCTTTGAAATAATAGAAGTCTGAAGTTCGTTGCAGTTTTTTCATCTCACCCTGTATATCATTTTTGACTAACCCCCAGAGAGGGCAGGAGCTACATTGTTCACTAAAATAAATTTGTCTGTATTTTTCTATTATGACTCAATAGGAATGACCTGAGGACAGACAGCCCCAATGTACTTGGTTACCTTGTTTGGTGGTAAAATCTCAATTCCCTAGGTTATATTGCTCCCCAAACCACACTCAACATGGAGCTGCATTTCTCTTAGATGGAAATTCTATGAGGCAGTGGCACACATTTTTCGAACAACTCACACAATAAGAAACCTTTTCCATACGACAACAATATGGTTCAGAACGATTATAAGTGGATTAACAATCCAACTAACACTTTTTTCTGAGGGCTCTGATTTGAGATTTTTTCCAAGATTTCTAATTATTTTTTTAGAATTTGCCGATTTCTCTAAATTTCTTCTAAAAATTGGAACAATTTTTGAAAGGGATTCGGAACCAAAATCGAAAATTTTAGCAGAGATTCGGAATAAAATTTTAGCTGGATACACACAAAATTCCTTGAACGATATGTAAGCGAAAATGTTTCGATGCATAGTTGTCGGAGTGATAGACTAGGCTCCCTCATTGTATTTATTTTGAAACAACCTTTTTATTTCAGAATAAACAGAACATTTTGCAAATATTTTTTTTTCTTGAGATCTGGCGACGAGAGGATCCTAAATAATGTGCATGTGAGCCCAGTAAACACAATTCTTTAACTTAAAAGTCAATAATTACTTCATAAAATGTAATCAATGGTTTTTAATTACTTTCCACGCATAACCTGCAACTGTTGCTATAGATAGGATTTAGCGAAAGGGAAAAAATCGAAAAATTTCCTTAAACACCGAAATTAGAGGCATATTAATTTTAACGATTTTTTCGGTAACTCAAAAAAATGAGTTAGAGAATCACACACTGTAGCTCTTTATTTAAGTTTAATTTGACATTTTTTTATTCTATAATGAAGGTCTAAGATAAGACAAGGAAAAAAACTTTTTTATTGGGGTCCCCAAACTGAGCTACCTTAAATAAAAAATTATATTGATATTTCATGGAGGATGAAAAAATAGTTTATATTGTTGTTGTCAAGCCAATGAAATATCTTTTAATTAAAGCCATAACAAATTTAAAAATAAATAACTGTAGGTCTAAACGAATAAGTGTTTAGTCAAATAAAAAGCAGACAGAATTTGTTTAATTTGTGATTAGATAAATAAAAGCAATGTAGGTCAATGCGCGTTATATTCGAAATAAGAAAGCTAAATTAACTGCATATGTGAATAGGAAAACAGTAAAGAAAGTCTTAAAGCCGGTCGGACCGACTTTATGATGCCCTACACAACTTTGCATATTTATTAGAGCTTCACATACTAAACAAAATTTTTTATGAGGAATTTATAAGAATTACATCATATCAACTATGATTTTAGTTACAATTTAAAGTCCAAACGAACTAAAATGTGAGAGAAATATCCTTCTCTGAATCGATTTATACAAAATTTGCCGATACATTTGTGCCTTTTCAGTTCTGGCTTGTTCTACCCATTTGGCGCACCATCAACTTTATATATAAAACTTTACTTAATTTTATATATAAAATAATATATAAAATAAAATTTAGCAAAGGTATTTCTGAGCTGTATTTGATAGATTTCCCCAAATATTGTTGTTAACAAATCGGATGAACAATATATATTGGAGCTATAATTTTGGCCGATTATCCCAAATTTCAATAGGTTTCGGCATTGGACCAAACAAATTATTTGTGCAAAATTTTATCTGGATCTCGCAATAAAGGCGACCTGTGCTTTGTTTTGCAAAAATGCATGGACAGACGGACTGACGGACATGCATAAATCGATTCAGAATGCGATTCTATGCAGATTATCAAAAGGAACTATGGGTCTATCTCGTTTCCTCTTGTCTGTTACAAACAAATGCATAAAGACATAATACCCTGACCACCTAGTGGTGTAGGGTATAATAAAAAAAGTAGAGATAATAGTAGCGGTTATGAAAATACATGAAGCACAAAAGTTTGAAGTTTAAAAATGTGATTTTCTATTTGAGAAAAAGTTATAGCTATTGTGAAACAAAACAAAAAGCAATTAAATTTCATCTTCAAAAATGTCCAAAGATCATTTTTTTTTTATAATTTTTCACGGGAAAGAAAATAGACCGTTAAAAATCCTAACAACGAAGATATATCTAATATCTCAATCAACAACTTTCTAGATAAATATTAACCTTTTAAAAGGAGTTCCTAAAGGTAAAAAAATTATACAAGGTGAGACGAAAAAACCAACTTCAGACTGCTGTTATTTCTAAGCCACTTGGCCGACAGCTGTTAAAATTTTTCCAGTGACAGCTTATTATATTGTTTACAAGCGTTCACAAAAGCATTTTGGTGAGAATTTTCAAAAAAAAAAGTATTTCGTGATAGAATTCAAGCGTGATAGTGTGTGTAGTAGTGGCTATTGTTAGACCTCTCCAGCATTTAAATGTGAATAAATGTTTTATATCTCGTACCATCGCTCGTTACCGTGATACTGGTAGCGTACCCGACGTCAAAGAAGTGGACGGAAGAAAACAGCAAAATCAGCAGAAATGGTTCGAAAAGTAAAGAAACGACTTGATCGAAACCCGCGTCGCAGAGGCCGAAAAATTCAGTAAATATTGAAAAATTAATATTGAAAAATGAGCTCGGGGTAAAGCCATTTAAATTCCAAAAAGAGCTAAGAGTTGCTTCGCTTGGCCGAAAGTGGTGAACTGCCGAATTTGGTTTTCTCCAATGAGAAAACATTCGTTGTCCAGCAGTTTGTAAACAAACAAAATTAACGTGTTTACTTGCCAAAGAGGTCAGCTAAAAATGTGCACCTTCGGTTGGCCACCAGAACTCAAGCGCCGGCCATGGTGATGGTGCGAGCCGCAATAACTGCCGATGGTCGCTCTTCTACTGTGGCGAATATTATCGCGAAAGTATTTTGGAGGGTGTACTAAAGCCTTGGGCTCGCAAACATTTTGGCACCATCGCACTCAGCACGTGCCACCCAATAATGGTTAAAAAAGTATGTTCTCGCTTCATTTCCAGCGCACAATGACCACCAAAATATCCGGATACCAATCCGTTGGACTATTGTGTCTGGAGTGTTTTGGAAAGCAAGGTTGGCACTAGAAAATACCAAAGTGTTGATCACCTCAAGCAAGCGCTTCGCCGGGAATGGGCCAAAATACCACAGGCAGCGTGTGACGGTTTCATTAGCCGTTTAAAGGCCATAATTCGTGCAAAAGGTGACCAATTCGAACAAATCTAAACTTATTCTAAAGTTGTATGCCATTTCCGATTTGTTTGCTTTCATTCAATAAAATTAAAAAAAAATTAAAAATTATGACGTTTGACTTTGATGCAGTTTTATATCTCATCCTGTAGATTAAATTCGAAGCAATCTTTTTTGCAATTTTGAACTGCACGTTGTAAAGCTAATACAGCTAAAACTGTTGTTACCTTTTCAATCAAAAAATCAACTGCATATAATCTTACACCAATAACACCAAATGTTCAATATTGATTTCAAAATATGTTTTTCTTTCTAACCCAGTATTCATTTCTCGTCATGCCTTTGCAATATTTCAAGCCATATGGCCTAGTGAATATTCTTAGTTATTTTAAATTAAAAATATATATATATATATATTAAATAATAATATTGGATTAAAAATTAGCATTGCAGTTGAACAAAACGCATTTCTTTAAATCTTTGAACACAGGAAAAGAAACATTAGCAAGAAACAAGGTAAGCTGTTGTCTGTACAAAGTCTTCTTACCAATATTGAGAATGTTGTATCTAATATCCAATTTGAAAACAGTTTCTTTATGACAGTTGGATTTGTGGCAATCGAACACGTGATAACTTATGGAAAATCGCGTACTATTTGTTTTGACCAACGTTCACTATTTCCTTGGTTTTTATTTTATTTTTTATTCTTTCTAATAACAATAGAAGCACTGATGCATAATGGATGCATATTTCAAAGTCGGTAGCAACAGAAACACAAAAAACCAATGCACACAATGGCTTGTATGGAAATCAAATTGGCTAACAAACAACAAAGTTTTTGTTTAAATCGCTTTTTTTTGGAAAACTTCCACCTTTTTTTCTTTGCACTAACGAGCACCCAATAAATCTATATGGGGGGCTTATATTAAAGATTCATAAACCGAATACAAAAATACAAAAGAAAATATATCCAAAGAAAACCGACCACTTCACTTCGCCAGCAAAAGAAATAACTAACGATTTTCGAGATCACCTGAGTTGGACACTTTCTTTCGATTAACGAGATTTGCGACAACGGATAGTACACCATGAGACAAGAGCCAGTAGAGAACTGAATCGAGTCGAGAAGGAACCACCACACTTGGGCCATAATGCACATGCGAAAATCTCAAAGTAAAGAGAGGAAATTCCAAAAAAAAAAAAAAAACGCACACACAAAAATAGTCATCATTGGGGGCTTTGGGGGCCTTTCATGGATTCATTGAAAACCGTCATAGCAATAACAACAAACAAATATCGAAAAAAGCAAGAAAAACAAAATTTTGTGGGCAAACCAAAAACAAAACTCAGGCAGTCTGCCTGCCTGCCAGCCATTGGGGAGAAATGCATGTCTCGGTCAAGTACAAGACAGGCGCAGTAAGCCATAGCAATGATAAGGATGGTGATGTGAAATAGAAAGCACGGTGTATTTTCCGAAATTGGAAATTAGAGGTAATGAGTTCAAAGTTCAGGCACCACACACGCAGCACCTGAATTTATCAATGAAATAAAATTACCGGTCTCACTTTCTTTCAGGAACCAAACCTTGATAAATATAAATGAAATATAACTTACCCGCTTCCAGAAGAGCGACAGCAGTACAACGTGAACAAATATGTTTGGTTTCGAAGACAAAAAAATATTTGATTTGAAAAAGAAATGAAAGTCAAGAAGCGCTTGTTTTCGCTTTCGCTATGAACTTTTTGATGTTAGTGTTGTTGCTTTTTATTCTCTCATCGAGATGACATTATTCATGTCATTCGTTTGTTTAGAATAGAAAATAATGGAGAATGTGGAATTGTTGTGAATGAGGAGATGGAGGAGTGAAAATCACCTGTTACTTCATTTGCATTAAACTGAAATATGGCAACACTAGGCAGCAAGCTTGCAAAAATAATTTTCATATTTTCTATTCCCATTTGCTAACTCATTTTCTCATGAGATTCCATATTTGAAACCATGTATATCCTTTTCTCATTGTTTTCTATCCTCCTGTTATGTACTAAACACTATTTCTCATGAATTTCTTTCATGTTTTAACACAGAAAACACTTCAAACAAGGCAAATAGACATTTCACGACCGACTAAATCAACGAACACGACTAAATGAGCTTCAGCTTTCATGTGTAACTAGACTTGGCAGCACTTTTATGAAATCACCCTCGATGGAGTAGAAGAATAGTGAATGTAAAGCATATTTTACGGCGTAATGCAAATTAAACTAGGTGAGTTCACATCATACCAATTATTTATATGGATAAAACCGTGCCAAGGGGCAAATGAAATCGAATATTTTCAGCTTGTTATTGTTAAGTATTGATTCTTAAATATTCACTTACGATGAAGGGCATATTTTATGCATTTTATTCTTATCTTCAAATCGTTTAACATTCAGTTGTCGCTTTTTTCATTTACAAAAAAAATCCAAACAATTTGTGCTATATACAGGGTGAGATGAAAAAACTGCAACCAACTTCAGACTGCTGTTATTTCTAAGCCACTCGTCCGACAGCTGTTACAATCATTCCAGTGACAGCTCTCTATATTGTTTACAAACTTACAAAAGCATTTAGGTGAGAATTTTCAAGAAAAAAAGTTATTCGTGATGGAATTCAAGTGTGATAGTGTGATTTCTTTATATTTGGCTGCAAACCACAAGTGGCTATCATTAGAGCACTCCTGCATTTAAATGTGAATACTGGAAGCATAGCCCGGATGGAAGAAAACAGCAACATCAGCAGAAATGGTTCGAAAAGAAAAGAAACGATTTGATCGAAACCCGCCTCGCAGTGGCCGAAAAATGGCTCCTGAGCCGAGCATATCGCAATATTCCATTCGGCAAATATTGAAAAATGAGCTCGGGGCAAAGCCATTGAAATTTCAAAAAGTGCAAGAACTTACACCGAAAGAGAAAGAAAATAGACTCAAAAGAGCTAAAGAGTTGCTTCGTCTGGCCGAAAGTGATGAACTGCCTAATTTGATTTTCTCCGATGAGAAAACATTCGTTGTCCAGCAGTTTTTAAACAAACAAAATGATCGTGTTTACTTGCCAAAGAGGTCAGCTGAACTCAAGCGCCGGCCATGGTGATGGTGTGGGCCGCCATAACAGCCTCTCCGCTCGTATTAATCGACAGTGGCATCAGAATAAATGCCGAATATTATCGCGAAAATATTTTGGAAGGTGTACTAAAGCCTTGGGCTCGCAAAATTGTTGGCCGCAGACCTTGGACATTCCTACAGCACGTGCCATCCACTAAAGGTTTCAAAATGAGGTTCCTCGCTTCATTTCCAGCGCACAATGGCCACCAAAATCTACGGATACCAATCCGTTGGACTACTGTGTCTGGAGTATATTGGAAGACAAAGTTGGCACTAAAAAATACCAAAGTGTCGATCACCTCAAACAAGCGTTTCGCCGGGAAAGGGCCAAAATAACGCAGAGCAATATTCGGGCAGCGTGTAACAGTTTCATTGGCCGTTTGAAGGCCATAATTCGTGCCAAAGGTGACCAATTCGAACAAATCTAATCTTATTCTAAAATATGATGGTATTTCCGACATTTTTTGCTTTCATTCAATAAAATTAAAAAAAAAAATTAAAAACTATGACTTTTGACTCTGTTACAGGTTTGTCATGGCGTTTATGTTGCAGTGTCCTGCAATTCGGCCCATCACATGCTTCCAGTCCAGCTTCGTCATGGATATAAGTGACCTTGATCTCCTTTCGAAGTTCACCGGCCAAATCTTTTGGAGACATTACATCCCCTTCCAGTTAGCCAGTTCTGTTATGCTGTTAGCCAAGATAATGCTTATGCTGTACTTGGTAGAAGTTACATAATAGTGGCTTCACTGAACTCTCAATCTCTAGATCTACTGACTTAGATCCGCGTCTGGCAGATATGTTGCAGTGTCTAGGGACTCAACAGAGTTTGACAAATCATTAAACATTTCCATAGCATTCGTGCATCCCAGAACTGTCAAAGATATATATTGTAAATGAATTTAGAGCCGTCAGGGCCGCTTGACTATCGACATATACATATAGTCACCGGTCCGTTCAGTTCATTGATTCTATTTGCCAGCTGCTCTATGGCCTTCCTGAGAGCAAAGATTTCTGCCTGAAAAGTGTAGGCAGCTATACCGTTAAAAGGTGGAGTGTCGCGGGTCCAGATGTCTCTGTTATGTATATGGACATCAAGTAGTTCAATACTATGCCTAGGTGATATAAAATCGCTAGCTATAGCCTGATTTCCTATGCTTTCCACATACTTGAAAATTACGGAGTGTCCAAAGGGCTGACTCCGCCATTGTCCCAGTTCATTGAGACGCAGAGCCCACTTAGCAGTTGCTTAGTTGTTAATAGATTTGGCGACAAAATCTGCATTAATTCAATCGAACTTACTCCAAATTGAAAACGAGTAAAGCAAACTAGCTCTTGTTCGAATTCGAGCGATTTTCACTTTTTTACTTTACACGTCTGTGAGCGATTATTTCTAATTTCCCGATAGGATAGAGAGGATGCATTCAGTAATTATTACAATGTGCAATGTTGGAACGTTCCATCCAGGAATACACATGGCGAAACCTACTGCAAGGATTTCCGAATCATTATTTCGTCTATATTGTCTGTGGATAGAGGAAAACAAATGTTTGATTTTTCTTAATATCTAAATTTTATTATAAAAAATTATCTTAAAAAAATACATAATATTACAGTACAAAAATTAATTTATTTGTCATTCTGTTTCGGTTAAACACTACCTAGAGTAAGAATTCATTTCAATACTGGGCTACATTGTTGCGAATAATTATTTTAAATTTCAACGTAAAAGCCAATATTGTTTTGTTTTTTTTTTTTTTTCTTGTATAAATTATATCACAGGCTTACTAACTACATTACAACAACAAAATCCAGATATCAGCCATATAAGGCCTCGCAAGGCATTACATGATGACATCTGAACTGACTTTTCCTTTCCAAATCGAAGGCGCAGACTGAAATGCATTCCTTATTTAAACATACGACGACGAACTACGAACTAAACAAAACAATTATCGTATCAGAATAAATTATCGAACTAAACTACTTGGGAATTTTTTGTTTGTTTCTGTTGAATTGGCGATTTGTGATGAAAATAAAAAACTTTCCCCTCGGATTGATTTTGTTTCCGTCTAAAAAATGTGACTGGTTGCAATGAAATACTCGTACTCGTATGAACAACGTACGTAATTGCATTTCAATTTTTGTGTTTCAATTCAACTTAAATCATATCCAACGGCGATTACGATGAAATTTTTTTTTTTTTTTTTTTTTTTTTTTTTTTTTTTTGCTGTAATACTAAGATTGCTCTATGCACTTTGATGTTGTGGTGATGAGGGGGGCAAGTGTGGATGCTGCTGCGGTTGTTGTTGTGATTGTGGAATAGCGGCTGCTGATGTATCTGTCATATGTTGAGGCCAATAATCTTGATTATCATTGGTGACTAGTAATTCGCGCATGCCATAACGTTGTCTGAAATGAAACGATTAAGAGAAGAAAATTAATTTAATTAAAATGAATTAACATCAATTAACAATATAAACTAAATCAAATGGAAACAAGGGAATTTCCAAGTGACAGCTTGCGATGTATTGAACTATAGAGAGGGAGAGAGAGAGAGAGAGAGAGATAGAAAGAGAGACAACAAGGGGTGCTCATGTTGTTTATTCTTTAGGTTTTAAAAACAATGGAATAATAAACAGTGATTGATCCGGACTTAAATAGAAGTTATTGAAAAGTCTACATAAAAATGTTATACTTAAATGTTACAGAAAGTTCAACGAATGTGCTTGCGGTGCAATGAGGAAAACACCATCCAGGGATTTAGAGACCATTTTACAGATATTAAGAAGCCACGAGGCATACCATTAAAAATAGTTATGGGTAACAATGGGAGAGTCAATGAAAAACATTATATCGGATCGGAAACTTCAAAAATTGTAGCTGCCTCATATGACATTAATTCCTACCACAGACTCGTGGATCGTCGGATTCCTAGCACAAATGCATACTGGAGACAGATGTTACACAGACGTCTCGGTACTAGGTTTAGAGGGGGACTGGGACTTTTTATTGAAAACCTATACCGTACCCTCTTTTCTCTTGCCCGATCATAATACGATACTTCAAGCGAAGGTCCGGGCGTTTGCAGAGTATCTGGCGTAATGCCAATACGAGACGTGGCGTAATGCCATAACGGACAGTAAGATCGCAATAAATGCTATAACTTCCAAGGCTGTAAAATCAAAAACTTGGAGGTAAACACTCAATCGACAACTATTCTCAACACGGCTCAGCACCTTTCATGATCATGCGAGCAAACTCTCTTAACAAAGCAGGCATGCAATTAGCGATAGTAAACTTGGACAACACAATGCCGCTTAATGTGTCACGTAAGAAAAACATATTCCTGTGAAACCCACACAAAAATCCTAAGGGGAGATCCCAATGCAGTAAAAACGAAGAACCTTTAAGAACTAGGTAAGAAAGAGGTAGGTGGCTTAATAGGCATCCTTATGGGCCACCTGGCCCTACAAGCTCATTTTTACAAAATAGGATGTGCAAATAACAGCATATACAGGTTGAGATGAAAAAACTGCAACCAACTTCAGACTGCTGTCATTTCTAAGCCACTCGTCCGACAGCTGTTAAAATGTTTACAGTCACAGCTCATTATATTGTTTACAAGCGTACAAAAACATTTTGATGAGAATTTTCCAGAAAAAAGTTATTCGCGATGGAATTCAAGCGTGATAGTGTGATTTCTTTATATTTTTGGTTGAAAAACCACAAGTGGCTATCGTTAGAGCACTCCAGCATTTAAGTGTGAATAAATCTTTTATGTCTCGTACCATCGCTCGTTACCGTGACACTGGTAGCGTAGACCGACGTCAAGAAAGTGGACGGAAGAAAACAGCAACATCAGCAAAAATTGTTCAAAAAGTAAAGTGGCCGAAAAATGGCTCGTGAGCTGAACACATCGCAGTATTCCATTCGTCAAATATTGAAAAATGAGCTCGGGGTAAAGCCATTGAAATTCAAAAAAGTACAAGAACTTTCACCGCAACAGAAAGAAAATAGACTCAAAAGAGCTAAAAAGTTGCTTCGTTTTGCCGAAAATTATGACCTGCCGAATTTGGTTTTCTGCGAATAGAAAACATTTTTTGTCCAGCAGTTTGTAAACAAAGAAAATGATCGTGTTTACTTTCCAAAGAGATCAGCTAAAAATGTACACCTTCGGTTGGCCACCAGAACTCAAGCGCCGGCCATGGTGATGGAGTGGGCCGCCATAACAGCTAAATATCGCTCTCCGCTTGTATTAATCGACCGTGGCATTAGAATAAATGCAGAATATTATCGCGATAATATTCTGGATGGTGCATTAAAGCCTTGGGCACGCAAACATTTTGGCCGCAGACCTTGGACATTCCAACATGATTCAGAGTGGTTACAAAATGGGGTTCCTCGCTTTATTTCCAGGGTATCTCCAGATACCAATCCGTTGGACTATTGTGTCTGAAGTATTTTGGAAAGCAAGGTTGGCACTAAAAAATATCAAAGTGTCGATCACCTCAGGCAAGCGCTCGCCGGGAATGGGCCAAAATACCGCAGAGCAATATTCGGGCAGCGTGTGACGGTTTCATTGGACATTTGAAGGCCATAATTCGTGCCAAAGGTGACCAATTTGAACAAATCTAAATTTATTCTAAATTGTATGCTATTTCCGATATTTTTGCTTTCATTCAATAAAATTGAAAAAATGGACATGTGGTTGATCATACTAGACGTATCTCTTTCATTTACCACACATTGTTAAAATTCACATTTCAATATCTACTTACTCAATATGATTACGCCATATAACAACAGCCGTATATAGGGCTATGGAAACCAAAGCCAGTACAACCAAAATGATGCTCAATATTAAATGACTTGTGGCCAGGGCTTTTTTATCGGCTCTCTCTTCTTCATCGGCTTCATTCATTTCGATGTTTTCATTAATAAATTCATCGGTATTAATGACAATCGAAGGTCCCCTATAACGTTCTTCAATTTCGGAAACCTCAGAACTTTTATCTTCGCCAGATTCCAAAATTTCAACATCATATTTGAAATTCTCAAAGACGGTGGTTAGTTTGGGATTTGGTAACATATCTTCATCACGATGCGAGTATGGAGGTTGGGAGGACATCGATGAAGAGTCCTGAAATAATAAAAAAAAAGAAGAATGACGTTTATAAACTTAATAAAAATCTGAAAAGGATCTTAATTTAAACTAGTGTTTAGACGAGACAAAAAATGTTAAAACAGAGTTATATTTTGCCAACACAAACATATGTTGGCGATGTCAATTAAATTCGGCCATGCCGAACATTTTATATCCTTCCCTAGTTGGAAAATAACGCATTGAAAAATATGTGTGTTAATCCCAAAATTCCAGTAATATAGGGCAATGCGTCACTTCTGGCATTAGTAAAAAATATTTTAAATGTTAAACAGTTCGATAAGAAATGTGGGTAAAATCATTGAAATATCGAACATCAGGAGGATGTGATGGAAAAACGTTGACCTATGTGGGATAAAAAAAACAACAAAGTCAAACGCCATAATTTTTACATTTTTTTCTTTTAATTTTATTGAATGAAAGCAATAAATGTCGGAAATAGCATGAAATTTTAGAATAAGTTTAGATTTGTTCGAGTTGGTCACCTTTGGCACGAATTATGGCCTTTAAACGGCCAAACAACCGTCACACGCTGCTCGAATGTTGCTCTGCGATATTTTCGCCCATTCCCGGGGAAGTGCTTGCTTGAGTTTGGTATTTTTTAGTACCAACCTTGCTTTCCAAAATACTCCAGACACAATAGTCCAACGGATTTGTATCCGGAGATTTTGGTGGTCATTGTGCGCTGGAAATGAATCGAGGAGCCTCATTTTGTAATCAATCTTGGGTGGTGCGTGCTGAGTGCGATGGTGCTGAGTCCTGTTGGAATGTCCAAGGCCTGCGGCCAATATGTTTGCGTGCCCAAAGCTTTAATACACCCTCCAGAATATTTTCGCGATAACATTCGGCATTTATTCTGATGCCACGGTCGATTAATACGAGCGGACAGCGACCATCGGATGTTATGGCGCCACACACCATCACCATGGCCGGCGCTTGAGTTCAGGTGGCACACCGAAGGTGTATTTTTTGGCTGACCTCTTTGGCAAGTAAAAACGATCATTTTGTTTGTTTACAAACTGCTGGACGAGGAATGTTTTCTCATCGGAGAAAACCAAATTCGCCAGTTCACCACTTTCGGCCAAGCGAAGCAACTCTTTAGCTCTTTTGAGTCTATTTTCTTTCTGTTGCGGTTCTTGCACTTTTTAGAATTTCAATGGCTTTACCCCGAGCTCGTTTTTCAATATTTGTCGAATGAAATATTGCGATATATTAAGTTCACGAGCCATTTTTCGGCCAATACGAAGCGGGTTTCGATTAAGTCGCTTCTTTACTTTTCGAACCATTTCTGCTGATGTTGCTGTTTTCTTCCGTTCACTCCCTTGAACTCGGGTTACACTACCAGTATCACGGTAACAAGCGATGGTACGAGACACAAACGATTTATTCACATTAAAATGCTGGAGTGATCTAACGATAGCCACTTGTGGTTTTCCAGCCACATATAAAGAAATCACACTATCACGCTTGTATTCCATCACAAATACCTTTTTTCTGGAAAATTCTCTTCAAAATGCTTTTGTACGCTTGTAAATAATAGAATGAGTCTGCAATAATTTTAATTGCTGTCGGACGAGTGGCTTAGAAATGACAGCAGTCTGAAGTTGGTTGCAGGTTTTTCATCTCACCCTGTATAGACGTTATGAACGCTATATGCCGAATTTTAAACAATTATCTTAGAAATAGTACAAATACCGAATATGAGGAGGTACATTTATAACCTTACGAACTTAAAGTCACTACAGTTAAAAGTTTCAGGTTTGGAAAGCGATACGCTGAATTAGAATTATACGCTGAACATTAATATATATACTTTGTTGGATCTAACGTGTGTATTTCGATGGTGGAGGGTAAAAAATACTGGTATGGCTGTCACCATCATTTAAGGAACGGTTTTGCCAATAATGAATCTCCTGAAGAACATTGGGCGCCACTATGATTATGGTTGTATAGTTGTATGCATTCGCTTCTATCTTTCATTGAAGTCAAAAAAGAATATATCCTATAGCCTTAATTCTAAACTTTTTCAACTATACATAGCATACTTTTGACACTATCTGGGTCCAATGTATTTAAATATTTAGATGTCTCCATCACTTTAGAAACGGTTTGCCAATAATTTCTTGAAAAATATTGGGCGCCACTATTATTTATACGGTTTTATAGTTGTACACATTCGCTTTTATCTCCCATTGACCTCCTAAAAATATATCCTATAGTCTTACTGAAATTTAAAATGTCACTATGGCTGTCACCATCTTTTAAGGAACGGTTTTGCCAATAATGAATCTCCTGAAGAACATAGGGCGCCACTATGCGTTCGCTTCTATCTTTCATTGAAAAAATATATCATATAGCCTTAATTCTAAACTTTCTAAACTATACATTGCATTGGGTCCAATGTATTTAAATATTTAGATGTCTCCATCACTTTAGAAACGGTTTTGCCAACAATGAATTTCTTGAAAAATATTGGGCGCCACTATTATTTATACGGTTTTATAGTTGTACACATTCGCTTTTATCTCCCATTGACATCCAAAAAATATATCCTATAGTCTTACTGAAATTTAAACTGTCACTATGGCTGTCACCATCATTTAAGGAACGGTTTTGCCAATAATGAATCTCCTGAAGAACATAGGGCGCCACTATGCGTTCGCTTCTATCTTTCATTGACGTCAAAAAAATATATCCTATAGCCATAATTCTAAACTTTCTCAACTATACATTGCATTGGGTCCAATGTATTTAAATATTTAGATGTCTCCATCACTTTAGAAACGGTTTTGCCAACAATCAATTTCTTGAAAAATATTGGGCGCCACTATTATTTATACGGTTTTATAGTTGTACACATTCGCTTTTATCTCCCATTGACATCCAAAAAATATATCCTATAGTCTTACTGAAATTTAAACTGTCTCAACTATACATTGTATCCTTTTGATACCATCTGGGTCCAATGTATTTAAATCTATAAAAAAAGGAATGTAAGTGTTATCAATGGAATTGTAAAACACATATATTTCATTAAATTCACACACAAATCAACATGAATATCAAATTAGTCAGTTTATATATTTCTTTAGTCTTTAAATAGAAAGTTTAATGAACTTATAAAGTGAACATGTGGTGATGATGTGGGTTTTCACGTTACTGACTCTTCTGTGGTTTTAAAGATGAACGGAGAAAACGTCGCAATATACATTTAATTATTATTTCCTGTCTTTGTGTCTTTACGCGGTCTTGTTCAAATAATTTTTGCGTATTTTAAGATATACAAAGGAATAAAACGCACGACCACTAAACTAGGTGAACATTTCGAACACATTTAGTGAACTAAATTTATTTCACCATTTCTCTTTCGTGATGAGCTATTAATCTATAATAATATATTTGTTATAATATATCTTTTAAATGTTACCAAGAAACCTGTTATATTTGCTACGCAAATAATGAACAAATTATATTTGAAATCATTATATTTTCGGGAACACCCTAATCTACATATTAACATACAAATTTGTATATAAAGCGCCTGCTTAATTTTGGCACGCTTCTTCAACTTCCTTAACCAGAATATCAGACAATAAAATAAATATTTGAAATGCTTACTTCGATCATCATCACCATCATCATCGTTAGCAGCCGGCACCAAATAAAATACAAAATATATGCGAGAACATAAATAAATTTCAAATATTTTAATGACTCATAAGTTCACAGAATGTTTAACGCATTCACCTTTCCCAAGTGTTAGGACGACCTTAGGTATTCCCAATGAAATTCTCAAAACCATTTCTTTGTCATGATTAACTTTTTTATTCCAATTGGCAAAAGTGACGTAAAAGCGATGAGTAGCAGTATTTTAAGGTAATGATTAAACCTAAACGAGAAATGGCAGGAGATATGTCTCAGTGTTCAAATGGATAATCCAATGACTCATTTCGTTAGGATAAGCGGAGCAAAAGAAAAAAAACAATGAGGGATATGAATAAGTAATAAAATCTTAATACGAAGATCTTGAAAAATCATTTATCTATAGAACACATTCATTTCCGATAATCAAAATCGTAGGATCCAGAAGTAAAATTAATTGGTTTTAAATATCATCCATGTGTATTTCCGAGTATTTGTCAAAGTTCAAATTTTACATATACAGGGTTGCCCATATTCGACGGACCCATGTTTTTATTAGGCCCATTCCAATCGACGAGGCTTGTCCGCAGGCAACATTCTTTGCGTCAATTGAATTTTGTACGGGAAAAAATGCAAATCAATGCAAATAATCCGTTGTAAAGTGGACCGAGCCATGCCTAACTGCTGAGAACGGCGTTTTTGGGATGTTCTTGGGGACCTCTCAACACTGGCTCGTAAGGCAGAGATATTCTCGGCCGATCGCCTTTGTCGACTTTTATATGGCCTCAGCAACATCAGCAGAAATTATTCGAAAAGTAAAGAAGCGACTTGATCGAAACCCACGTCGCAGTGACCGAAAAATGGCTCGTGAGCTGAACATATCGCAATATTCCATTCGGCAAATATTGAGAAATGAGCTCGGGATAAAGCCATTGAAAGTCCAAAAAGTGCAAAATTTTACACCGCAACAGTAAGAAAATAGAATCAAAAGATCTAAAGAGTTGCTTCGCTTGGCCGAATGTGATGAACTGCCAAATTTAGGGTTTTTTCCGATGTAAAAACATTCGTTGTCCAGCAGTTTGTAAACAAACAAAATGATCGTGTTTATTTGCCAAAGAGGTCAGATGAAAATGTGCACCTTCGGTTGGCCACCAGAACTCAAGCGCCGGCCATGGTGATGGTGTGGACCTCCATAAAAGCCGACCGTTTTCATCAGAATATATGCCGAATATTATTGCGAAAATATTCTGGAAGGTGTATTAAAGCCTAGGGCATGCAAACATTTTGGCCGCAGACCTTGGACATTCCAACAGGACTCAGCACCATCCCACACAGCA